CGCCACGGTCGACCGCGCCTGAGTTCTTTCGTCAGTGGGCAGCAGAGACTTTCACGGTTGACCGTCGTGGTTGACCGTGAGCTCGAGATTTCCCACGGTCGACCGTTACGGTCGACCGCCAAAGTCTCTGGAGCTTTTCCTATTGTTTTTGTTGCTCGCGGTCGATCGCCGCGGTCGACCGCCGTTCACCCCAACGGTCATTTTGGTACAGAATCAGATTTCTGATTCTTGGGCTTTTTGGTCTTTTTCTTTGGGGTTTTTGACTGAGGTTTTGGGAGGCTATAAATACCCCCCTAGCTCTCATCTTTCAAGCATCAAAGAAGTTTTTAAACAAGGTTTAATAAGGATTTAAGCTTGTTTAGTTTGTTTTAAGTTTAAAATTTTTTATTAACAAAGGAGGAAGCTTACATTGCAAATTGAGGGATTCATCCTCAGTCTTCTTCATTCTCTCCTTTGTGTTTATAGAAAAGTTTTTCTAACTCTTTTCTCTAGCATTTTTATTATTGATTTTCATATTCTTATTATTGCTAGTTTGCTATTTGAGTTAGATTTTATTTCACTCATTGTTTACACACACCCACTTGAGCTTATCGTATTTTTATACATAGTATATTTGGATTGGTGAGAGTTGTAACAATTAAGTGTGAGCTTACATTGTGTTCTCATCCATATTAGAGAACAATCATTTGTTGTATTCGTGCTTAATTGTGAGATTTATTTTGTAATACACTTGTACACCGAGAGAAGTGTGTGGTGTAAGTCGGGGATCGTCCCAAGAGGAGTGACGTCGGTTGACGAACCTAGGGAGAGGTAGTATCCGAGTACTTGAGGGAGACACGTCTAGGTCCAACACTTGAAAGGGTGTAAAGTGAGATTGCAAGAGTGGTGATTGTAAAATTTTCGGTTAGCTAGAAAATCGAGTGTGATGTGTAAACGCTGTTCGGGTAAGCGTAAAAAACCCGATTATGATAGTGGATTTCTCCCCGAGAGTGGGGAGCGGAGACGTAGGACGGAAGGTCTGAACTCCGTGATCATATCGTGTGTTTGAGTTTGCTTTGGCGGACTTCTCTTATGTTTATATTTCTTGTCGCCATTGTTCATTGCTCTTTATTTATATCATTCACTATCTTGTTTATTTTGTTTACCCTTGTGTATATCACTTATCCTAGCTCACATATCTTGTTGTATTTTATACTTGCTAGGATAACTTGTTAATTAGTTTTAATTGTCATAAAATTGGATTAGATTAGCATAAGACCCTAATCACCCCCCTCTAGGGTCCAACAGCAACATCTATAAGTAAAAAAAATGTTTGTAAAAGGTCATAAACTGTGTCATCAAATTGGAAATGACTTTGGATATGGAAACATCACATGAAGTTGATAATATTATAAACTGCGTCATCAACTTGAAATGAATGAATACTTAGTAATAGTCTAATAGATATCAAATCTGATGTTTTTTATTGTTGATATTATCAATTATGATGCGTTTATGCAACCATTTTAGAAAGGACAAACAATTGTGATAGTTTGCAAATGTTATTTTCAAGCTGTCATTTTTCTGGAGCTGATTTTATTAATTCTGACTATACTTTTGGAGTTGAGGGTACTCTTCCTTTAAAACAAGAATTTTATATAAAATATTTGGTTGGGGCTTTCGAGTTTGAGACTCTATCCTTTATCCCAGAAAAATATGATATAATTGTTTTAGAATTTTTCTAGAGAAGAAACAAAAGTGTCCCCAACCCCAACCCCCCCCCCCAACCAAAAAAAAAAAAAAAAACAAAAACAAAAAAAAAACAAAAAAAAAACAAAAATCTCCAGTTCCTGGCTCTGCGGTGAACAACCTTGAGCACTGGGTTAACCTAAGCTACATGAAAAGTATGCATATACTGACACATAAACTAAAAATGATTAGCTATAAGGTGAATTAGGTGTCATAATGAACGGTGACTTTTAAGTATATCTATAATATATGCAATTCTTTCAATCGTAAGGAATCTTTAGAGCAATACCAAAGATATGCATTATATGATCCTGCATGCATTGTCTAACTGTGCGCTGATCTCGGTAACGTAAATAAAAGAACACAAAACAACATTTTGATCTCGAAAATGTGTTCTTCCTGCTTAACTTAAAAGTGAGGCATAGGTGACAAGTTTGTTGGTACAGATATTGAAAGGTTACATACATACATAGATGCATGCATGCACATGTGTGTGTCCATATGGGTGTGTGCACGTCCCGCCACATGTCAATTTCATGTTAGCGCAGTAGAAGACAACTAAATACCGTACTGTATGAGTAAGAGATTATACAGAATTATTCATTCCAGTGTAACCATTGATATGTACATCTGAATATTTTATACCAAGTGCATGAGGCGCATGCATGTAATAGACCACTTACCTTGTGCTGCCAAAATCGTTGATTCCTTGTCTCCTGTCAATGTCCAAAAAAAATAATCATAATCATAAACTAGGAAGACCATATCAAACAACTCGTATATCATAGTGCATATGAAAGAAATTATGCAGATATATCTCAGTATGCCTATGGATATCACACCTGCACTGAGTCCATGAGATTTATTCATGTAATAAACCAATTACCTTGAGCTGACAGTATCGTGGATTCCTTTCCTCCTGTTTATGCCCAAAAATTAAAGTTAGTAAGCATAAATCAGAAAATTCATATAAGAAAACTAACTGTCATCGTGCATGTGTAATGAACTATGGAGACTTAATTCAGTATGACTACTTGACTATCAACAAGCAATATGAATATATGATATTAAGTCAATGAGGTTAATGCCAGACAACACTTACCTTGCGCTGCCAGTATCTGAGATTCCTTTTCTCCTGTTTATATAAAAAAACTCTAATAAGCACATTATGTCTGATGTTTAAAAAAAGTAAGCAGGAAGGAGGTCTCTTCCTTCAGAAATGACAATGAAGTAGAAAGTTCCATAAATCTACACAGAAGTAGCAGTAAATATTTATCATAAGCGATGTTGAACCACATTTTTTTCAGCTACACTTTTCTAAAAGAGTCCCTCTTGAAACCATTATCATCGCTTTCCTAAAAAGCATAAAGAAGATATGATAAGGAAAACACTTAAAGAGTCCCTTTGCATATCAACATCAAATATCCAGATATGTTTGTATATTTGAAATGTAATATGCAGAGTATCTGTTTGATGAGTAAAATCACAGTTCAAAAAATCATGATCTGACTAAAGCATATTGATATTTGATCTTCTGATCCGAGAAAAATATTATTTTGCATGTGAATATCATAGATCTAATATAAATTGTGATTTTCATAGTATGCATTCAGAATCAGTTGGATAACCATTAACATCAAAGTCTCGTATTACTGGATATCTTAGAATTGGAATGAAGGGGGAAAAACAGGTAGGAAATCACAGTTTACAAAACCAGTACTATAATAGCATGATACTCGACTTTTTAATCCAGGAGAAAGCTTTTATTACACATTTTTGGAATATCATATACTTAAAAATACAATTTGATGATTATAATATAAAAATCCAAAAGAGAACTTGTTTGCTATAATATAAAAATACAAAACACGCTTAGAGTTTACAAACATACATAGATTGCATAATTGAAAGACACGAAAAATCCATATGAGACTAGACAACCAAATTCCATATTACATATGTAAGATATTATATAGATTGATTCCAGCATGATTATCAATATTAGCATTTGAGTATTAGTACATACAAGTAAAAGAAGGTGCCACTTACCCTCTGCTGTCAGTATTGCGGATTGTTTATTCCCTTCAGCTCTTTTGATGTGTGATTCCTTTTCTCCTGTTTATATAAAAGAAATCAATAAGTTTACATTTGATTACAAAAGGCCAATAAAGTGAACCAGATGAAAATGTTATAATTTTCAGCTAGCCTCTATGAGAAAATCAAATTTGTAGCCTGCATGATAGTGGGCACATTGAAACGAGACAATATTGCAATGCCATAATGTTGTCGTAGCATTCAGAAGAAATGTCTATAAGTTAAAGTACATTACACATGTCAATGATAAGCTCATATATTTTCACAAGTAATCACCTTCAGCTTCAAGAATCTGAGCACGTTTTTTTCTTTCTGCTTCAACTTGCATTTTCATAGCCGTCAATACTCCAGGTGGAGGTGTTACATCCACTGCATTAAATCAAATAACAAAAACAATGTGTAAAATTACAGCAAAACTGCCGCCCAAGTAATATGCACTGAACCCAAGTAATATTCACTGAAAACAAAGATAGACTTACTTATTTCATATCGAATACACTCAACACCCCAACCAGAAGCAGCGTCATTGATTACACTCTGTTTAGAGTAATGCCATTCACTAAATTAGGATCAAAATAAAACTAAGCAAAAGCAATACAACACACTTTCGTATAGCCGATGACTACTATCACTCCTAACTTCTTCTCTCCTGTTCAATTTTTCTGACACAATTGGCAGAACTACGACAGCCTCGACATCATTACTAAACCCTATTGGATAACAAAAAATTGAGCCCGTGAAGACTTCTATCAAGTGAGAAACTTCAAACTAACCACAATCTTCTCGTTGAGTTTCGCCCTCTCCTTCAACAAGGTGTCCAGCTCCATCTTCCCCACCTCGCTCCTCACCGTCGTCTGCGCCAACTGCTTCACCACAAAGATCGGGTTCTCCACCGCATACGACGCAAGATACGGATCCACGACCTGAAACCCAGAGCCAAATCAACATCATCCACAACACCAAAACAGAAACAAAAAAACTTTTTCAACACCTTTTTCGTGTACCTTAACATAAACATTCCCGTTGATGAGAATGCTAACATTATCGTTGGTAATCACCGACTGATCCGAAATCAAGAACAGCTCCTCCTTCAGAGCGTGAACGTAGGCGATCCTATCAACAGCAGGGATCAAGAAGTGAATCCCTCCGCCTAGGGTTTTGAGGTACTTGCCGAATCTCTCGATCACGTAAGCCTTCTTCTCGGGAACAATGCAGATCCCCCAATTGGACGGCATCTCGGTCTCATAATAACTGCAACCATATTTGACCATCCATAATAGGAATCGGTGGAGGCGGAGGAGGAGGCGGGAGAGAGAGGAGTTGATTAGGGCGAGGCTGGAGGATCTTGGCCTCAGCAGCGCCATTGATGAGCTCTTCTCTATGAGATTTGGGGGGTTTTCAGAGGAGAGAGAGGAGAAAACCCTTTGCAAACCCCCGCAAGGTCATGACATTCTTGTCGGAGAGGAAAAGGGCGTTTTCGTAATTTTGTCAGTGAAGTGTGAAAATGGTACGACAAAATTTTTGTTATTTGCATAAAAACTCAGGCTAAATTGCACTTAAATGCCATAGAGCGTCGCTAACCTCGCACTTCAGCAACATCCATTTTAAACCGGCCAACTAAATTTATTTTTAAAGTATTTAAATATTATACGAATTTAACTTAAAGTTTTAAAATGTTGCCTTTACTGTCCTCTTGTTTATCTGATGTTGCACATAAATACTCTTACTTTTTAAATTGTCTCACTTAAATGGATGTACAACCATCTAAGACCATAATTTTTTTTTATGGAAGGTGTAAAATTTCACTTGAGTATCGAGTACACCCATTAGAGGGAGAGACGTACAACCATCTTCAACCCCCTCACCCCATGCAACCATCTATGCTTTCGTACTCAATCCAATATGGCACCATAAGCCGCACTATAGTATTTTCCTTGCCTTCCGTACGATACTCCATGTAGATGATGAATTTGGAGACGATGCTTTTTTTTTTCCTTTCGAAAGTTTTATGTGAATTGATTTTGATTTGGTTTTAGAGCTAACCAACCTAACCATAATCATCATCGTTAAATCAAAATGAAAATGAAAGGTAATTGTAGCCCCAAGCAAGTTTGATTGTGTCAGCCCTTTCTCTTGAAAAATAGACCGGCCCAAACCTTAAGGTCTGTTCACGGGCTCAGCCAACGTAAGGCCCGCTATTAATCTATCACCGACCGGCCCAAACCATCGTGAGTCTCCTCCCATCAAAACCCTAACTATATATAAACCCTAAATCTCGCCGCCTCCATCCTCATTCCCCAAACCCTAACCCTAGATCCACCTCTCTCTCTCTCTCCCTCCCCCCTCCCCAAGCCCTCAACAATGAAGACCATTTTGTCTTCTCAGACGATGGACATCCCCGAGGGAGTCAAGGTTAGGGTCAACGCCAAGATCATCGAGGTCGAGGGACCCCGCGGTAAGCTCACCCGCAACTTCAAGCACCTTAACCTGGACTTCCAGCTAGCCGAGGGGGGGCGAAAGCTCAAGGTCGACGCTTGGTTCGGATCGAGGAAGACGATGGCCGCGATCAGGACGGCGATCAGTCACGTGCAGAATCTCATCACCGGGGTCACCAAGGGCTTTCGATACAAGATGAGGTTCGTCTACGCTCACTTTCCGATCAACGCCAGCATCGGCAACTCCAACAGAAACATCGAGATCAGGAACTTTTTGGGCGAGAAGAAGGTATAAAGATCCCTTCTTTCGCTTTATTTTTGTGAGTTTGTGTGAAAAGGATTGCTTCATGAGGTTGAGATGGGATCGTATTTATGCATTCTTCTGTCTCATTTGCTTCTGCGTCGGATGTTTCTGATTTTATAATTATAAAGCTTCGAAAGTTGTTTAAAATGCCAAAATAAGAATTCTGATCAATTCTGTACGCAGATTCAACAACAGTGGAAGAATTAGCTTGATCTTGCTTATTCGTTTAGCTTGAAAATGTTAGATCTAATCTAAGATCAACTATGCCTGATAGATATCATTATTCCTTTTTCTTGTCTTTTTATTTCTTTGTCAAATCGTCGAAATTAAGCGCTCTAATGTCTATGTTCTTGTGGCTAATTATTATTTAATATATGGTAGTTACGTTTTCTTTCTTGATCATGTACCGCATGATTTACTTCTATTATCTGAACATATTTGCAGTCTCTTGCTGCATTTCCCATTCTCTTCCCAGCCACGTAACCGTTAAATTGCCATTCGAACAGGCACACCTGAAATGTTCAATGATTGTTGTCTTAAATATGTCTGGATTATTTGTTGTCATTTTGCATCATCAGAGTCATAAATATTAGGTGGTAACATCAACTTCAGTGGTTCTTTTTATATGTTCAGATTCAGATTTAGGCGGCAAGTAAAATTTGTATATTCTACCTTATGGTATAATTAACAGCATTTATGAAAAAAAAGTAAAGGTATCAGAGTTTAGAAAGTAATAGATTGGTAGCGTAATGCATCTCAAGAAGAGGATGCTTGTTGCTGAAGGGGGAGACCATTTCCAACACAATGGAGTAACATTATTGCTGATGCAATAGATGCGAAAGATTAACCTATGAGGTCTGAGGAATTTTGGCACTTGATTGTTGTTTAAAGAAAGCTTCCTTTAAAGTTTGCTTTCTTCTAAGTTTTCAATTCTGTATTTGTATGGAAGGTGCCTTTAAAATTGATTGCTTAACCCTCACATAGACACAATGCACACATTTCGTGCTGGCTTGTCTCTAGTGAGCCGAATTCCATGAAAATGTAATTAACTGTCCCTGCCAACAAGTAAAAGCTTTATTTTCCATTATATTGTTACAATTGTTAATGTTTATAGCTAAAATGATCTTTGGAGATACTCTGTACAACAGTTTCATTTTAGGTTGATATTATAGCATCATGCAGTTAAGCATTCCTGTTGGTATCTCTCATCTCCAAATGACCTGTACTGCCAAAAGTTTATCATCCAGTTGAGAACTTTAATTTTTTGTGTAGCCTATTTATTGTCTGTTTGTGAATTGGCTTTAGTACCAATTGGTAGATTGTTCTACAGTAAAAGCAATTGCCGCTGGAAAAGGATAAGCCGTTAGGGCATGAATCTGAGCACACACCATTTTCTTTTTTATTTATCTCGTTTTGATGGTGAATTGTATAGTGCTCTAACTTATGAATTTTTTATTCATTTTGTTTTATTCAACCAACCAGCCCTGCAGTAGTGTTATTGTTTTCATTTTTATTGAAAAGGTATATCATTTCAATTTCGAGAATTTTCAGATAGGCAACTGCAAACCCTCAAGGATATCCACCAGCACCTGTTGTATGTTTTTATATTTGCTATGAAGTTAACTTTTGCATACATTTGTTAAGCATGTCTGCGCCTTCAATGATATTTCACTTCTTTTCCGATTTTTTATTTAATTGAGGTGCAATGATACAAATTACAAGTAGAGCTCAACCGAAGTATACTTCTTACAGGACAAATTTTGTAAAAGGTAGGGTATGGGGACACAACTATGTAAATAATTTTGTAAAAGGTAGGGTATGGTACATGTCAAATTTTGTAAAAGGTAGGGTATGGGGACACAACTATGTAAATAATTTTCTGTGATTATATATTGGAAAATCACTAGTTTTTGAACTAGACACCCAAACGACCCTTTAAAACAATTATTTGGAACTTGAGTTATGTCCAACGGATTTCAAGAAGTGGATCTGAAGTGTGGGATATATGTCTAGGAAATGTATGACAAGTGTTTTATATTTAAAAGAATATATGTCCATGAAATGTATGACAAGTGTTTTATATTAAAACATGCAATGTATATGAGTACATGCCCGAGTAAGTGTATCCATATACGCAAGGAGTTTAGGTATGAGTATGTTACATGTCGGGTACGGGTACCGCTTCAGATTAGAAGTACCCAGGTAACATAGGTTATATTATTTATAGATGGCCATTTGTTCATAAATAAACTTGAAATGTTGCCTCAACTCTACTTATATAAGATAGGGGTATTTCATGTAGGCTTGCTTTTGATGGTTGATTGTGCTGTCATTTTAAGGTTTTTCCTGCTTTCTTTTTATTTTGGTTTTCCATTTGTATTAACACATTTTATATTTAGTCTTTATTTATTCCATTTTCCATTTTAATCTCCCTTTACTACAGCTTGTTATTTACATTTTCCTCTGTGCAATTCTTATTGCTATGAAATGCTATTATTATATTTTAGCATTATATTTTTTGTCCATAGTTTTGTACACTAATCTCATATTCTTTTATTCATCAAGCCCCCATTAGTTTGCTCAAGCATCCTTGTTTCAGTTTCAGTTTTCTCTCATTTGTTTAGTTGCGAATTATGTAGAATCACTTCTAGTAATTGTTAAAATTTCCTTTACCTTGGCATACTATAGAAGCTGTCTGATAAAAGGCATCATAATGTCAAGAAACCTCGAGACATCAGAATATATATGTTCGTTAATTGCTGGCTGGTTGGATTCATTCTGTCGCAAAAGTTAAACATTTTTATGACATGATTATTCAACAATGAGAGAGAGCTGCACAGCACTCCTCGGTTATATTAAACTTGGCAATCTGCTTTGCTTCTGAATTTATCCCACTGAATGAAGATTGATTGGAACATTTACATTTTTTCTTTGCTTATTTTGCACTTGTTTTTTAATTTAGTTATAATGATAACTTGCACAGTATATTTCGAGACTTTATTTCATGTGTAAATTGATCATTTTTGATTTCATGGTTGCATGGCTGCAGTGCATTGTGTACTATCCCATATAAGAATTCTCATGGATATTTTATACTTAATAGTCTTATACATTGCCTTTTTCAGGTAAGGAAGGTAGATATGCTTCAAGGTGTGACAATTACTCGCTCTGAGAAGGTCAAGGATGAGCTTGTTCTTGATGGAAATGACATCGAGCTTGTTTCCCGTTCTGCTGCCCTCATTAATCAGGTTGCTTACTGGTTCTCCTAAGTTGAATTTATCAATTAATTTCCCTCTTTGTTCTTTACCTTATCATATCAATTTGTATTATAATTTCCACTCTGAGAGAGTTTGTTATTGGTTACAGAAATGCCATGTGAAGAACAAGGATATCCGAAAGTTTCTTGATGGTATTTATGTCAGCGAGAAGGGAACCATGGCTGAGGAGTAGTGTGTTGTATCAGAGGCTGAGTCTTGATGCTTTCTCTAGTCGATCTAGTGTTTTTTTTGGTTTACAAGTTATTTGTGGTTGTTATTCTAGTTTTCAGACGTGGGAGTAAAAAGATTTTGAGATATGGTGATGCTGAATATTTCAATCTATCCTTTTCTTTTGCTACTCAACTGTTCTTTGTTCAATGAAACTCTGTGGTAGGGATGATGGTGTTTTGAGAATGTATCTGTTACTTAATTGATCACACTGTTTGACCTTAAGAAGTTTTTTGTCCATTCACTTGAGGCCATTCTTAGAGCATCTTCAACAGTTTTTCCATTTTATTGGTATTTTTACTTTTGGAGAATTTTGGGATTTGTTTTGGTCCAACAGAGTCTCCATCCTATTCTCCAAAATAGGGATGGAGGAGAAAAAAAAGGGGAGTCTTTTCCAAATCTGGGGCATTCTTTAAATATTTGTGGAGAGTTTTGTCATAAATGCAGCATGTTTTTCAAAACGGATTGGAGGAGAAAATAAATATAAAATAAAATCTGTAATTACAAAAAAAGATATTGAGTAGTTCCAATGCATAAGAGCATCCTAAAATAGGGATGTATAGTATTTTTATTATTATAATAAATACAAGATTTTTTAAAATGGGAAAGCCGTTGGAGTTGAAGCAAAAAGAATTTGGAGAATATGACTTTTGCTTCCCCATTTCGGAGAAATTTTTTGGTAAACTGTTGGAAATGCTCTTAGTTTGTAATGGTCTCTCTGGATTGCTGTTGAAAACAGCAGGACTTGTTCCTTTTCACTTGAGATAGGATGTTTGTACTGAATGCAATGGATGTTGTTTAACGTTAGGTATGTGTCACGAACCGTCCCATTTTTGGCTCAATTGGGTGCATTTGGACTCATTTATTCCTGGTTGGGTCCACGAAGATCCTAGGGTTTTCTAGAGTTTTCTTGGATAATAAAGTTATGATAAATATCTTGTATCTAGAAGCTTCTAGGAAGTCTCATTAAAATATCTAAGGATCCTTGTAAAAGCTTCTAGAAAGTCCCATGTAAATATCTAGGGAGATATTTTATGAGAAGAGTCTAGAGACTCAATCTTAACCATTGATTATAAGAACAATCTAGAAGGCTAATCATAGCCATCCATTGTAAGGTAGCATTGCCTATAAATAGGGGCTAAGGTATTTCATTTGTATCAAGCAAGAGTTGCTAAGCAATAAGAGCTTTCACTTCCACTCTTGAGTGTTCTCTTCCCTTCTCTTGAGTGATTGTTTGAGGGATTAGGCTGTTCCCTTCCCTTCTCTTGAGTGATTGTTTGAGGGATTAGGCTGACTTAGACACTTCTCTTGAGTGATTGTTTGAGCGAATGAGCTTTGTGGTGAAAGAACCAGCCCGTGACATATGCGGATGCTTGATTGTGCGTGCACACGCACTTCCCAAAGTGATGAAGTGACGACCCAAAAACTATCAATCCGCACTCACAAGAAAAGCTGCAACCAACTTGACCACACTTTAGACGATTCACGATCAAAAACCGAAATTTCTTGGAGGGCGTCGCGTTTGCCGATGACGAGGATGGGACTACTTTGGCCATGACGAGGATGGGACTACTTTGGCCAAAAGCATGCGCATCCCCCTTCTTCCGGCCAAAGCATCCTCGTCCCCACTATGGCGCACCATTCTTTTGGGTAGGGAGCTTATGAAATGGGGTCGCTCTTGGTCCACTGGAAATGGTTGAGAGTATTTCCATCTGTGTATATGATGATAATTGGTTCACCAACCAAATTTCAACAATTGCCAGGCTATTTATTTTCTGGCACTGACCCGATCGACGTTGCTACAACTAACGTCGTTCTCCAAATGCCCGTCCTACCGTGCTAAGTACCCCGACGACCGTCTATCGGTTCGACGTTTGACATCCATTCTCCCACCTACTGGTCTCCTCTTCCCCCACTTACAGTGTGAAGATTAGTGTCAACTCTATGTGTGTCCTGACAGCTCCAGTTTTGATGTTGTCGCCCGAGACCATCTTGGTCGTCATCTCATATCCTACGGCACATTTGGACCACCATCTATTACACTCTGTGTCGGAAGCCTTTGCGCTCCTCGCTGGTCTTCATATTTGGTCGCTCATCTCCGCGTGTCGGGAAATATTTCCATCTTCGAATTGCGTAAACGTTCTTAGCAATTTAGGATTCACGTAATCGAAAGTCCAAGTGAACCTGTTCAACAATTGAACACGACGTCGTACTTACAAAAATCCCCGTAATAATACCGAGTTGGGGTATGCATATACTTATCAACACTCAAACCCCTGATAAGGAACTCATAACATGGCCTGTCTAAGCTCAACCTTTTTATGTCAAGGGAACGGCAGTCCAGTCGAGAGTCATGAGATGATCGAGGTCATTAACTATCCAGTGCAAAACAACCTAGCCTAGGAGTAAACCTTTCCTGTAGATGAATAACTAAGTAAATTTATCGGAATTATGTTATGCGATTAAACGACCTGATATGAGGGAAAGAAAATTTATTGGCAAAAAGAGCTTGATTCTTTGTGGGGTACTATTTATGCTCATTACTTTTTTTTTCACACATTTATAAATCACTAACTATCCAATGCATTCTTTCTTCACGTAGAAATACAATACTGAAGGTTCCATCTCTTCTGCAAACCTATATCAGAATAACTTGGAGAACAACAGATTTATACACTTTAGAACATGGATTAATAAAAATCAAGGAGATATCTCAGTGCACGTATTTTCTTATTGTTTCATGCTTCAGAAATGAAGACAAATGGTATAAACATCGAGGACAAAATTCCCGCCCCCCCGCCCTTCTTTTGTATAGAATAACCAGGAACGACACTCTCAGGTGATGTCTTTTAACTGCTTTAATTGTCCTTTAACCTCCTTTAGATCCTTATTGGGTCTTTAAAATATCTGCTTATAGTAATCAAGAAATTGATCTTATCAAGCATCAAATTGTCTACCACTAATATTGTTATTACCACTCTTGGCAGCAGAATAAGCGGTCTGCTACGCATTCTCGTGCTTTTTTACTATTGCTAGAAGTCTCATTTCTTTTCTTAAACAAACTGAATGATTTGTAAAAATTTCAAAAGCCTTTTATGTTGCGCGCAGCGGAAATTTCGGCAGCACTTCGACAGCACAACAAGATAGTCAGATCGCAATAAGAATTCCCGTCTCACCAAGGAGACAAGAATCTGAAGCGGATATCTCAACCAAGATGCATCATTCATATCCATGATTTGTAAAAAATATGCAAGCAAGATACAAATGCAATCAAAACAAGATTATCACAAAAATATAACTTGGATCTTTAACTCAAGGCGATTAAACCTTAAATCAAAGAGCACCAAGCTCTGATACCAATTGTTAAACCCTAGAGGGGGGTGATTAGGGTACACAAGAATCTCACAAATAAAACCCTCACACAACACTCTCAAATCCCTCACAAAGCTCTCTTAAAGGGATACACAAAACCCTAAAAGAGACTACACAAAATCTCCTCAACTGCAGCCGCACAAAACCAAGCCTTGCTCTGCGCCTCTGTTCCGCAGTCACCAAAGAAAACAAAATCTCCTGCACCAATTGCTTTTCCCAGCCGCCAATCAAAAACAAAAGGACCTTTGCTCCTGCCGCAGCCGCAAAAGCAACAAATCACCTCCTGCTCCCAGAAAAACCTAAGGAGAAATCACATATATATATATATGAATTCGGGTGGGCCTTGGTAAGTCACGTGGGCTAGGGAGTTGTCCGCTGGATGCTTCATTCACGCGGATTCTTTTCCAGCTCGTGGTCCCCATAATTCTCCACCTCGGTGAAGTTTTCTCAAAACTGAGCCGATACCAAAGCAACCAAATGTCCCACTTGTTGTGTCCATTATGAACTCAATCCACAACAAGTCGAGAACCTGAACGAGAGTCCAAATAATCTCACCCCCATCAAAATCAACTAATCCAAACCGGCTGCATCTAAAAGACTGCCTACGTATCCTCTTCATCTCGAACGAAGTGATAACGAACGTCAATGTGCTTCGTCCTCGCATGAAAAACCTGATTCTTCGCCAAATAGATAGCACTCATGCTATCACAATGAATAGTGACGGACCTCTGCGATATACCAAGTTCCTCCAAAAGTCCTCGAAGCCAAATAGCCTCATTCACAGCCTCCGTAACTGCCATATACTCTGCCTCCGTCGTAGACAAAGCCACCGTCGACTATAAGGTGCATCTCCAACACACCGACGCACGAGTCAAAGTAAACACATACCCTGTCGTAGACCGACGCTTATCCAAATCCCCGGCATAATCCGAATCAACATAACCAATGCACAATTGCCCACCTGTAGTGTCCCGCTCATAAACTAAACCAACATTGAGCGTACCTCGAATGTACCTCAAAATCCATTTCACGGCGTCCCAATGACCCACTCCTGGATCATGCATGTATCTAGAAACCATGCTTACCGCCTGTGACAAATCCGGCCTCGTACATACCATCGCGTACATCAAGCTCCCAACCACACTCGCATATGGAGTCTTCGACATTAACTCTCGATCTTCAACTGACTTCGGTGAAAGACCAGCTGAAAGCTTCAAATGGGCTCCCAAAGATACACCAACTGGCTTCGTATCCATGCTAACATGGAATCGCTGTAGAACCTTCTTCAAATAAGCCACCTGTGTCAAACAAATTCTGCCCTTCTTCTTGTCTCTGCCGATCTCCATCCCTAGAATGCGCTTCGCCTCACCCAAGTCTTTCATCTCAAACTCATTTGATAGCTGAACTTTCAATTCATCTATAGCCGACCGACATAGAGCAACAAATAGATGTACGCACCTCCTTTCAACTTGCGAAAATATACGCAAGGATCAAACTGGCTCCGAGTGTACGAATGACCAAGCATAAAACCATCGAATCGCCTATACCACTGTCGAGGAGACTGCTTCAAACCGTATAGCAATTTCTTCAGTTTGCAAACCAACTTTTCTTTCCCTGCAGCTCGGAATCCCAATGGCTGAGTCATATATATTTCTTCATCAAGATCACCATGAAGAAATGCCGTTTTCACATCCAACTGATCTAATTCCAAACCATACTGTGCCACCAAAGCTAGCAAAATCCGAATCGAAGAATGCTTCACCACCGGAGAGAAAACCTCATTATAGTCAATACCTTCCTCCTGTGCATAGCCCTTCGCAACCAACCTAGCCTTGAATCTCAACGGAGTGCCTTCAATGCCCTCCTTCTTCGTGTATACCCACTTGCAACCAATTGCTTTCCGCCCCTTTGGAAGCTCAACAAGCTCCCATGTATCGTTCTTATGAAGAGATTCCATCTCCTCCTGCATAGCCACCTGCCACGAATCAGCCTCCGAACTCTGCTCGGCCTCTCTGAATGTAGTAGGCACTAACTCATCGATACTCTCCACCGGAAGTGCATACGCAACTGTGTCGGCATACCGTGCTGGCATCTGTATGTTTCTCCTCTGTCTCCTAGCCGCAATAGAATCCTGAACCTGAGCCGTCGGTTCCTGATCCTGCACATTTGTACTCGTATCCTCCGTGTCATCGTCGTGCTCGCCTGGCGTCACCTCAGTCGGCACCTGCATGGATACTGTACCATCTGGACAATGTGGAGCTGCATCGATCTCCACCACCTGCGATATCTCCTCCGTCGGGTCGCTCTCCACCTGATGAGAGCTGGGAAGCTTCAAGATAGAAGCCTCATCAAATGTGACGTCCCTACTCAGAACAATCTTTTTATCAACTGGATCCCAAAGCTTGTATCCCTTGACACCACGCTTGAATCCTACAAATATGGCCTTCCTAGCTCGAGGTTCCAATTTATCAGTTCTAACATGATAATATGCAGGGCACCCGAATACCTTGAGCTGGTCATAGTCATGTGCTGGCTTTCCCGACCACATCTCCATAGGGGTTTTCCCCTCAATCGCAGATGAAGGCAGCCTATTAATGAGGTGGCTCGCATATGTAAGTGCCTCAGCCCAAAAGATCTTCTCCAAACCACTCTGCGACAATAAGCATCGGATCTTCTCCAGTAAAGACCGATTCAACCTCTCTGCCACCCCATTTTGCTGCGGTGTATGACTAACTGTGAAGTGTCTCTCTATGCCCTCGTCTCGACATAGCTGCTGAAAGGGGTCAGAAGTATACTCACCACCGTTGTCGGATCGCAACGTCTTGATCTTTCTCCCAGTCTGCAGTTCCAATCTCTTCTTCCACTCCACAAACAAATCTAGGACTTCACTCTTCTTCGTCATGGTGTACACCCAACAACGCCTAGAATAGTCATCTACAAAAGTGACGAACCAATGTCTACCACCAAGTGATGCAGTCTTGGTGGGACCCCAAACGTCTGTGTGCACGTAATCCAGGATGCCCCTCGTCTGATGAATGGCAGTCCCGAACTTCACCTTCGTCTTCTTGCCAAGAACACAGTGCTCACAGAACTCAATCTTCCCACTCTTGGCTCCCTTCAATAGCCCCTGCTTGCACAATGCCTGCAGTGACTTTTCACCTGTGTGCCCCAATCTATAGTGCCAAAGTCTGCTCATGTCCGCTTCTGAAATAGCCGAAGCAACCTGGCCAATCTCGGTGCTTCCCTTCAGATAATACAAATTCCGATTGCGGACTCCCCTCATCACCACCAATGATCCCTTAGTAACCTTCGCTACAGCGTTTTCGAAAGTCACCTTGAATCCCTTCGCCTCCAAAGCTCCAACTGAGATAAGATTTTTCTTCAGTTGAGGAACAAATCTCACCTCCTTCAACTCACGGACTACTCCATCGTGCATCCTAATCCGCACGGTACCTATCCCACAAACGCCACAGGATTGATCATTTCCCATGACAACAACGCCCCCGTCGACTTTCTCAAAAGATGCAAACCAGTCTCGCCTAGGGGTCACATGAAAGGTAGCGCCGGAATCAAGCATCCAATCTGATGCATCCACATGGTTCACCTCCGGAGTAATCAGTAGAGAAAAGCACGAATCATCGGAATCATCGCCTTTCGCAATGTTCACCTCATTGGCCTTCGGGCCCTTTTTCTTGCTATTCTCCTTCTCTTTGAGCTTCGGGCAGTCTCTCTTCCAATGTCCCTGCTCCTTGCAGAATGCACATTGGTTCTTTGTTAATTGGTGGCGGCCTCTAGACTTTGACCTCCCTCTGTTACCACCTTTCGGATATGGGCTTCTACCTCTTGTCGACAAGGCCTCTCCTGAAGTACTAGCGCGGGAAGTCTCCTTATCCTTCCTCCTCAAATCGTAGTTCGTCAAAGCGTTAGTCACTTCACTATAGCTGATAGAAGATCTCCCGTTCAACAAAGTGAGCACGAAGGTATCATACTCCTCATCGGGTAAGGAGCCCAACAAAATAATCGCCTTGTACTCATCCGATATCTTCTCATCAACATTCGCCAAGTCCGACAACAACTTCGTATAGTTGTTCACATGAGCCGCAAGCGAGGTGCCTCTGGACATCTGGAATCTGAATAACCTACGCAGCAAGTGCAATCGGTTCTCAACACTCTTCGTAAGGTACTTATTGTTGAGAATTTCCCACATCTTCATTGCAGACGTTACGCCAATCACATCATATTTCAGCTCCTGTTCCAAACAGGACCTGATCACCCCACAAGCGTTCCTATTCATTTTCTCCCATACCGCCTCTTCATATTTAGGTGGCCTCTCGTGGACCATGATGGTCTCTTCCAAATTCTGAGCATTTAACGCATCCTGTACGTCGCTCATCCACAAACCAAAGTTGATTTTTCCGTCATATTTCACCACACTAATTTTGGTGTTTTGAAAACCAACTTGTATTGTACTCGCCATTGATTTGCTGCTTTCACCTTCTTCTCCCATTGCGAACTAACTCCAAATTGTAGAGAAAGAACAAATTTGATAGAATTAGGAACCACCCAACTGAACCCTAGATCGGATTCCAAATAGATCTCCTATCCACACGAGGAAAGCGAAATCTCCAACGGCAACTCCTAATGCTATCTCCACCGAAGCCGAGAACTCCAAGAACTAAGCTTCACACAAGAATCTTCCTCCACCAAAAAAACCCTAGATAAATTGTGGGGACCACGAGCTGGAAAAGAATCCGCGTGAATGAAGCATCCAGCGGACAACTCCCTAGCCCACGTGACTTACCAAGGCCCACCCGAATTCATATATATATATATGTGATTTCTCCTTAGGTTTTTCTGGGAGCAGGAGGTGATTTGTTGCTTTTGCGGCTGCGGCAGGAGCAAAGGTCCTTTTGTTTTTGATTGGCGGCTGGGAAAAGCAATTGGTGCAGGAGATTTTGTTTTCTTTGGTGTAATTGTGTGAGGGATTTGAGAGATTGTGTGAGGGTTTAGATTGAGTGATTGTAAACCCTAGTTGTATTCTCTTCCTCTATTAGTAGATCTCCCCCCTCCTTGCCCCGTGGACGTAGGCAATTTGCCGAACCACGTAAAAATTGGTTGTACTGTTTTTGTGTGATTTGTAATAGCTTTTAGGATCCCTCGACAGGTCAGTCCTAGAACTGATGAGAGGAAGAGCCGATATCTCACTTGGTTGAGATATCCACTTCAGATTCTTGTCTCCTTGGTGAGACGGGAATTCTTATTGCGATCTGACTATCTTGTTGTGCTGCCGAAGTGCTGCCGAAATTTCCGCTGCGCGCAACATTTTAAACATGTAGTGATGCTTTTCGATTTTTTTTTTTTTCATTTGCATTAGTGAGCTTTAGAATACTTTGAGAAGGAAGGCCATGAATTCAATATTCATGGATGATCTTTGCTTTTGCGAAGCTTCTTAGTTATCGATGCTATTTCATGTTCTATATAAAAAATCAAATTCTCCTTTCACCACCTGTATAGTGCTGAACTTCAAACTGCAGGAATACTCGTAGATAAATTGTGTTTTTTTAGGTTCGTCAACAAATTTCATTTAATTATTTTTAGTAAGATCTCTGGTTCAAAGTGTGATGTTTTGAGGATAAAGAGGGGCATCATTAAGTCATCAATGTTCAAATTTACCCTCGACCTGAACAATGAACTGTCGAAGAAAATGGAGATCTGATACAGTGAAAGCCACTAGCTCAAAAAGCCTAAAAGGTGATGCTCTGTTCCTTACTCTTTCATGAATTATGCACCAGCTTTCGCTTACTTTAATGAAAATTCCTTCGACTTTTTAATATTGTTACTATTATATTGATATATAACATATGATATTAACATATGAATTGATGTCTCCATTGCCACTTATTTTGCTGCCTAGTGGCTTGTTCTGTAATCCTACACTACTAATCGATGACATCATGATTAGAATTTGTTGAAGGAAAATTACTAGATATTCTTGAATTGGCCTGTGTGCCATCCCCTAACAAACCATCGCAAATTCGCTTCTTGTGTTGGACATCTATATCAATATGTCAGAAAGATATGCCTAATGTTGGTTTTGTAGCAAATCCTATTTACTATTTGTCAGAATAACAATTGTCATGTTGCATTATAATGCCAACGTAATCTTGGAAAAGGACTATCACATTTCGATCATCAACATATTTCTCCTACGCGCGAACGCGAAATATCTACTTTTTGATTTCAGACAGTCTGTCCCAATTTTCTTGGTTCCGATATATATTCGTGGAGAACTATTAGCCGAAGGCTTATGTAGACTAGAGCACAGTCGGTATACTATACAAATCCTTCCAATATTCCGCATGTGCTGTAAATAATGTGCTCTGCAGATCTTGTGTCTTGTCGTGGAGAAGAGCATTAGATGCTTATGTAGCTTGGAGCTTAGACGGTTCAAGTTCGTTCCATCATCCAAATTACCAATAAAAAGCCACACCTAATCAATTGAAAGGAAGTTGCTACTCAAAGAAAAGATACTGAAAAGTTATATCCAAATTCCAACCAGTTGTACCTATAGGATAAAATCGACAAAGCTCGAACCCCACTTGATATCTGATGCTGATTGAGTTCTCGACAGTTGTTGATCCTGAGCTGATGTAACCCGTTCTGACACAATATTTCAGCCAACAGTCTGAAAAGTTATAGAAAGCAATGCTAACAGGTTCTAAAGTAACGAATAATATCTTTTAAGTCTTGCACATTTATAAGTAGCCACACTTTGATATCTTGGTTTCTAGGACTAATTAACAATTGAGATGGGGTGTTGGAAGGATTGGAAGCCAATTTTTGTGATGTTGGCAGTTAGTGTTGCCTATGCTATGTTGAATACTATGATCAAGAAAGTGATCGATGAAGGGATGAATCGGTTAGTTATCATCACTTACAGACAATTGGCTGCTACTCTGTTTATGGCTCCAGTTGCCTATTTTAGTGAGAGGAAGACTAGGCCGAAACTGACTTCAGAGATTTTTGTCTCTCTCTTCTTCAGCGCCATTCTCGGGTAATTTCTAAAATTCTTGGAGTTACAAGCCTTGACGCTACTTCTTTCATTGTGCCTGATTGAAGTAAAGAGTGCAGTGAGTGTATGCGTATTTGTGTTTCCAGGGCTTCTCTTACTCAGTATCTCTTCTTCCTGGGGCTTCAGTATACTTCAGCGACGTTCTCTTGTGCTTTCCTGACACGCAAAATAACACGCGCACACGTGCATGTGCGCGTACAGACAGACACACATATTCACAAAGACATGGCTACACACAGATACTCATGCCACACACTTCCTCTTAGTAGGTAATATGAAGGCTCGGATAGCTAAATATCAGAAGACTAAAGTTCAACACAAAATTGCAGCCTGGTCGGTATTTTAACAGTGAAAAGTTATAAAACATGTATGTCAGCTGTGATGATATGTTTGGTTGAAGTTTTGAATAACTTTGGTTCACTTAAAATCTTCTTTTTTTGGCTCCCAAATTCCATAAACCAATCATTCAAATTTTCTACTTTCCCGTGCAAAAAAGCCAGTTTTCTCTCAGGACAAAATTTCAGATATTTATAGAGATTTGGGAAAAGGATAATCATTTAAGGAGAGAAATGTTACCTCGTTTGAGTCTGTTTCAATGTAATTGTCAAACAAACAACAACAAATTACACTTGCTCAGTTTTGCTCTCAAAGAAAAATCACTTGAAAAATTGATTTGTTATTATCACTGTCAATTTGCGACAGATTAGAAATAGTGAATCCTAAGAGCAGAGAAGGAATCGCAAAGGTTCTTGGAACCATCATTTGCTTCACCGGTGCGATGTTGCTAACTTTATACAGAGGAATTCTCTTAACCAATTTATCGGATTCGAGCCAACAAAATGAATCAAAAGAACAAGTAATTCATCTGATGACTGCAAGAAATAGAGGAAAATGGATGCTTGGCACTCTTGCTCTCTTTGCTGGCACTTTCAGTTGGTCGTCGTGGTTCCTCCTACAGGCTAAAGTCAGCAAGAAATATCCTGCTCTATACTCTAGCACTGCCCTTATATTTTTCCTAAGTTTTCTTCAAGCTGCTGCATTGAGCTTTTCTACACAAAGAGGCTTATCGAACTGGGTGTTGAAGGGCAAACTGGAGATTGGAACTGTTTTATTTTCAGTAAGTAATATTGACTTGGTTATTTTCGCTTATATCATGCAAAACGAATGCAATCTGTTGAGATCGAAACTATTTCTCTTTGCAATTTTTCATCGTATACATTCAAAATGTAATCTGAAGTATTTTAGGTGTAACTTAATGAGTACATTAAGAAAAATCCTCTAGATTTCTTTTTCAAGTAGAAAAAAGTTCCTTAAGCGCATAGGGTATATAAAATGGCTACATGGACATAGCTTGTTAACAAGAGGTATAAGAAATCGCGACGACGTTACGTTCACTTATCAAAACGCGCGAACCAAAATTCTTCAAGTTTGGCTGATTTGTGGATGATTTATGCCTGGATACAGAGTCGTCCCTCGGAGATTCGCTGATTCTGTTTTTTTTCCAAATTAACCGAAAAGATCGCCGCCACTGCACTCTAGCTTGATATTCATGACACTTTCCACTAAATGCACGCGACATTGTTGGATGATGCAGGGTTTGGTGGGATCAGGGTTTGGTTTCCTGGCAATGTCGTGGTGCGTCGCCAAGCGAGGTCCGGTGTTCACTGCAGCGTTCAGCCCTTTAATCCAAATCCTCGTAGCTGGCATCGACGTCACCATTCTTCACGAACAACTTCACCTTGGAATGTAAAGAGAATCAACTAAACCTGATAAAAAAATATACCCCTGTTTTTACGCACTTTATGGTTCGGCTAGAGTTTGCTCATTTGGGTTTAATCCTTTGCACGTCCGTGCAGCGTTTTGGGCTCTGTTCTTGTGATTGCTGGCCTGTATTTTCTCCTGTGGGGAAAGAGCAAGGAGGTGCACGGTGTTAATGCAGTGAAGCCAAGTGAGGAGAATGAGGAGATCCAGGGACCAATCCCTGCTGTGTGAATCAAATTGATCACAAAATATTTCAATTTTACATTCGTGGTGTTATTAATCATACCTCAGCTTTTCCACAGAAATGAAAGGGTCTATATCTTTTGTACCTGTCTTTTATCTGTTTTTTTTTTTCTTTTCTTTTGGAAGGATATGCTATTGTATTGATCTTTTTCCTTTTTCCTTGAGTCAAGCTGTATTTTAACTTGATAATATTTTTCTGTGTGAATTGGTGGAGTAACTAATAATTTTAATGATTTGAGGGACTTCGTTAAAATTATGACAGGTGCACGGAACGGATATATGAAAAGAACTCATCTTTGTTCGGAGATAAAAGAAAAGGGAGACAAAACAAGAAGAGCCGAGTTCTAATAAAAAGGGGGTAAAAAAGAAACAGGCTCAATCCAGACCTCTGGGCGACAAGAAATCGCCTTTAATCAAAACCTCGAATGGGTTTCTAGGTGTTTTTTTTTTCTTGAAATCTTTGGCAGGCAACGATGAGGAGCATTAAATTATGTAGTAGTATTTATTATTATGTTTTCACACACATTCGAAGGTCGGTTTTGAGTTATCCCAAGATAAATAATTAAATACTAAGGGCCCGTTTGGATGGGGTATTTTGCCCCGAAAATTGGGAGGAAAGCTGCCAAAATGGCAGCTCTTTGGCAGCTTTCCCCCAAAATCGCCTCTTTTAGGATGTCAGAAATAAGAACCATAAACAATCTCAGAACTTCCTTGCCTATCCATCTGATCTTCTAAAACTATGAGATGTGTACGAAATGTGAAGAAAGTTTCTTGAAGAAGAACACTCCTATACTCAGAATGTATTTTTAGAGACACATTGACCTCAACCTTGTACATAATTTTCATGTGCTTTTTCTAGCGGCGCCTGTTATTTGATTAGGCATGCCAGTGTTATATGGCCTTTTTTTGTTTGTTATAGCTGCAATGCCGTAATATTGGACATTGCTAGAAGCAAGCTGTTAGTTTTCGTCGTTAGTAGCTATGGACTCATTATGTTTAGCTCGACGAAGAGATAAGATGGTAAGGAAAATTTTGAGTGAGATGGTAGGAGAAGGGAGAAACAGAAGATTTGGGGATGCCCAGAAGGTAGAGAGTAGGAGACTGCCAAAGACGGAGAAATTGCATCCAAAGTGATGCGTTGAAGTTGTCTTGATTTCCACTAGTGGTAAGTGGGTCTTTTGATTCTGAAGTAGACAGAAAGATAACAAGTATTTTAACGCACCAATTGCCCCCGTTGATCAAATTAGGGGATCTAATAATTTTTATGTCCCTTAATGGAGAAGAGCATTAGATACCAACCTGGAAGCCAACGGTGCTGACTTAAATCTGCTCTCTTCTCCCACTTAAAGATTCAAAGTACCCTGCAAGAGTTTGATATTGATCAAGTTGATCTGATCTCATCGATGTTGACTGCATTTGTGGCGATGTTCGGAAGTCATAGGGAGTAATACTAGTCTATCCTAAAGCAGAAGCACCTTCTTCCCACCGAAATAACTATAAGTAGCTAAGCTTTGCTGTCATTACCTCTCAGAGGACTAGTTCTCAGTAGTGTTTGGTAACTTAGAGATGAACAACTGGGAGGAGTGGAAGCCAATTTTTGCAATGGTAGGAATCAATATCGTATATGGCGTAATGAACAGTGTTATTAAGGTGGTCATTGATGAGGGGACGAACCGATTAGTTTATCTCACATACCAGCAATTGGTGGCTGCTCTTTTTGTGGCTCCAGTGGCCTATATCACCGAGAGGGGAACTAGGCCGAAGCTCACTGGAGAAATCCTTGCGTACCTCTTCTTCAGTGCCTTGCTTGGGTAATTTGTGCTACCCTACTAGAAGATAGCTAACCTTAAAAGCTTCTAAGTTAAGTTTGGAAGTCTGTGATGTGTTAAATGGCTGATTTTGTTTCAGGGCTACGCTTATCAATTATTTCTTCTTAATGGGACTTCAGTATACTTCGGCCACATTCGCTTGTGCTTTCCTCAACATGACTCCGGTGTCCACTTTCTTGGCTGCTATACCTTTCCGGTTCCCCTCTCTCTCACTCTCTCACACACACTCTCTCTCTCTCACATACACACACACATTCGTACATGAGCACATGTGCATGCTCGTGCATGTATTCACCACATACACATGATACATGCACATTTGCATGCTCAGAGGTACACAAAGAGAGTGTACATGCACCTGGTAGTGTATTTTGGAGAGTTTTAGCATCACCAGATGCATGATCTTTTTTCCTCTTTGAAAACATCAGCATAACCCAGTGAAAAGGGATCCGTCAGGACAAGATTATACTAAATTATCTGTTGACATTAGTAATATTTGTAAGGGGTTATGTGTAAGTTGTGTAGGGCCTATATAAGCCCAAGAGAATTCAAAGGTTCCGAAACAGTGTCTCTTCGCTACTGGTGCAAAAGTCTCATGATAGCGATGCCGTATTGTCTGCAATACCTTTTGCCAGCAGACGAGGCTTGTTGTACGACTCAACCGTGTCATCTTCGATCTGCTTCACAGTGTAAGACCCACTTGCATCCAATGTTTCTTTCCTTTGTAGTTTTACTAACTCCCTTAAGTGCGGTTCTTCAGGCGCCCGAGCTCGTTCGTGCATAGCAGCTTTCCATTCTCTGTTCTTCTTTGCAACCTGCCATTTGTTAGGATATGAGTACAGAGTCCAATGATGCAAGATATGCTCCATGAGTAGGTGGATGTTAGATTAGAATATATACAAACTGGCAAGTATCCCAACCATATCATCGGAGATTTCCGCATTACTGGATAGTCCTCCGTCGTTATTGTGTGGGAGGAATAGGAGAGAATGAGACTCACCTTGAGAGGAAGTCTTGTGGTGGTGTACGTGGTTCTGGAGTGGGGCAGGCCTGTTGGAAGGGACTTGCCCAGTGGCACTGTAGGTACTGTTGGTACTGTTCCCGCAATTTGTTTCCCCTTCGTACTATAGCGTAGTAGTTCTCCACTGAGCCGTTGGCCTAACACCTCTTGTCTCAATCTCACTCGGTCGTCTTCATTCACTTGTCCTCCTCAACCAAGTTCCTTCCCAAGGAATCGTTACAGAAATGGATTTTTCGATCTCCCTTCTCAGACATTGATTTCTCCACATTCTCCTCTCTCGCGCCGCATCTTCCAGTAGTTAGGCTGCAGTTATCAACGCGATGAGTTACCTTCCGGGGTTGTTAATATGGCTCGAGTTCTCGAAAGTGCACATCGATACTCACAAACACCTTTTCTCCACGGGCTCCAGCACACATGCCCTTCTGCAAGTGCAGATTATGCACAAAAAATACATTTTCACGCTCTAGGGGCAAGCTTCCGACTTGATGGCCTGTTGTCTTTCACAAGCACACACAGCCAAACACCTTGAGTGAAGAAGCCACCATATATCTCCTTTCAAAATCTCATACACAGGGACTTCCATCCAGCACTCTCGGGGCATTCTGTTTGATTAGTTGTGCCGCGGTCAACAATGCTTGTCCCCATAATGTTTTGGGAATTCATAGAGATCATCATATTCTAGAGAACCTCTAAAGGATGTTTTCTTTCTTTCAGCTACTCCTTTGAGAAGGCTGTGTATAGGCACGTGTCTGGTGTTTGTATTTCCCTGGCTGAACAGTTTCCCAAACCCAATTTTTGTTATGATACTCATGCTCCCGTTATCAGATATTAATACTTCACCACAGCGCCTATGAGTCTGAGCTACCTATGAAAATTTGAAAGCAACTAAACACTTCATCTTATTTTTCATCGGTCAACGTAACGCGGGAGAAACAATCAATAAAAGTAACAATACTTGTATCCATTATAGAACTTGATAGAACAAGGTTCCCAAAATTGAAGGTATCATTTCGATAACGAGGAATACTCCTATGACCAGAACTTACGATAGAGAATTCTAGTAAGTTTTCAAGTTCACATGCATCACATACAAGTGGTTATTTGCTTCTAAATAGAGGGGATAACCTGTACTTAAAACATTAAAGATGGCTGTCCAAACGCTGGTGATTGAAGTCAACACACTCTCAGCACTCATTCAGATCTACTTCTGCTCTCTCTATTCATTGACACCAAGTGGCTAAATCCAGTCCTTCAGATCCAGATACCACAGTCCACTACGCCTGTGCAGTCCCAAGTCTGCGCCCTGTCCCCTTCTCCTGGAAGTCACCTGGGAATATAAAGGAAACAATGCATTTTAGCTTGAAGGATGATCGCCACTAAATGGATAAAGGTTTGACTGGAAAGGAAGAGCATGCCAAAAATTGGACAGATTTACCGAACATGTGACATCGACTGTTACCCTACCAACCACGGTGAAATGTACCATCAGGCTGTTTTGAATCTCAGGCGATGCTAGGTGAGTATTGATGAGAACTCACTATCTTACTGCCATGTCGAGACGACTGAGTCGACTATCCTTTGATGATTTGGTCGGAAGATATGGAAAGCAGAGCATGTATTCATCAGTACTGTTGGTCGATGAGCTACGTAGCAGTGTGACCTCTGACGAAGAATTTGATGTGATTGCCCTCTCTCTGTCCCACTCCTCTGTCTCCATACCCGTGCTATTCCTGCTTTCTCCTAGTTTCGCCGAGGAGCGCCTGATCCTCTCGTAAAGTACCTCAGCTTCTTCTCCTTCCTTGCTGCTATCATTAGATTTCGCCGGTTCCTGCTCCCTTCACACCCTCGTCGACCCCCACGGCCACGACCACGCCCTGCCGAACTGTCCACGTCCACTCGAATCTCCGCCTTGGCGTGGTTTGTGCAGCATTGCCTTAGTGACCCATTCCCGCAGTTGTAGCACTTGCCTGAGGTCTCTCCCTGGAGCGTATTGTTAGCATATGCTAAGCTGACTTTCACCACAGCGAAGTCCACTGTTCCCGCTGCCAGCTTACTGCGAGTCTCCTCCTGGATCATTAGCTGAGACAAGCTCCTCAAGCGAGGGATTTTCGGCTGAGCTAGACAGTAATTCAATTCGCTGAGCGAACTCTGATGTTCATCCCTAAGAAGAAACACATAGTCCTCTCCTGTAGAAGGCCTCCCCGCTTTTACATCCTGGGTCCTTGCCCAGCTTTGCCCGCGGGAGAAAATGAAGCATAATCCAGCCACAGACGCTCAGCTCTGTAGCTATTCTTGTACAGTCCTTCTCCCTGACGTGTAGGGTCAATCTTCTCCTTTAATCTGGGAACACCCTCAGGTTCCCACATCTATCATAATGTTTTCCTCAATTCTCCCAGACATCTTCACTTTCTCAATTGCATCCACCGTGCGGCGATCGTCGCCAGTGTGAGTTGAGCAAGCCAATGTCACCAATATGAGTGGATCCACTCATCTGCTCTCCGAGTCCTCATCGGTTCTGTCGGTTCTCTCGGTCAAGTAACGCCCTCAGGTTTCTGCCCTGCAAGGTGTTATCTCACCCGTCGTGACCAGCCTCAGGTAGGTACCTCGGGCATCAAGCTTCGAGATCGATGTCCGGAAGCTCCAACTTCTTCGATGTCTTGTCGTGCTTATCAGCCGACAAGCCTTCATAACTTCATCAAAGTTGACACCTCCGCAGGGTTCAACTTCTTGATGATCTCCTCCATCGATCAAGCCTTCAGATCCGACACCTTGTTCTTAAACCCTTGTTGTGTGCAGTGAAATTGTCGGAGTCATTGCCTGACAACAAGAGTAAGATCTTTCAAAATTTCTCTGTTGCTCAGAGGAAACTGAATCCCAAAGTTAGTATATCTCATCGATGTGAGATATTACTGTTCCTGTATTCAGTTCTGAGGGACTGGAGTCGAGCGGACAATGCCAAACTGCGAGGTCCAGCAGGTAAGACGGGTCGGCTCAGGGAAGGGCTGATCGGTCTGCAGCAAAAAACAAGGGGGGGAAGTGGGGTTCAGGTAGGTCAGGGCTGTTTGGAAGGCGTCTGGTGGGGATCTGCAGCGGAAGGGGGTGTCTTGCAGGCGGACGAGCACAGTGGGGTGGGGGGTTTAGGCGGAACAGGGGATCTGGTTGGATCGGACAGGGGGGTTCTTGGGGGGGGGTCTTCAGGCGGAACAGGGGGTGGTGGGGGGGGGTTAGGCGGAACAGGGGGGGTCTGGTCGTGGATCGGAAGAGGGGGATCTGGGGGGCGTCTTCGGCGGACATGGGGAGGACTGCAGGCGGACAGGGGGGGGAAGGTCGGTAAGGCGTGTGGTCTGGTGGGGGTCTCGGTAGGTGGTCTGCAGGAACAAAGAGGAGCAGGCGGGTGGGGGGGAATCCGGAGGAGGTGGTGGCGCTTTGGCGGTGAGGAATTTTTGGCTCTGTTACCATGAGGATAATAGAAACCCTAACCCTATTAGGAGA